CTAGACTTTTTAAAGGTTTAAGGAAACACATTCATGTTAGGGGCTATATAGTATTTAAAAGCATTGTTTGAAATTTTCAAAGGAATAGCATGTGCTTTTTAATGAAATGTATTTTGGAAGCTTTCCATGTACATCAGCAGCTGTGCTTTTTGAATATTTTGAATTATCAGACACTCTACCACTCACTGTTTAAGAAATTCACTTCTCATGCAGAGTAGAGTTACAGGCCTGTTTGTAGAGCTCGGTCTGGTCAAAGGTGGTAGGAAGGATGTGTGTGTGTGTGTGTGTGTGTGTGTGTGTGTGTGTGTGTGTGTGTAAATGTGTTTGTATTAGAGAGATTATGTGATTCTAATAGCTATAAACGAAGGGAAAGAATTTGGATTAAAGTTGTTGCTAGTAATATTAAAGCTGCCTTTCAATACACTCACATATTGTAGCTGACCAAGATAATGTTTCACAATTCTTTTCTTCTTATGATTTGAATTATAAGCTTACCTTAAATGGAGGGAGGAATAGTGGGTGAATATAGCCAATATCAATGTACCTACATGAAAGTAGAACTAGGTAACTTGAAGGGATTGGTGGAGTTTGGAGAAATCAGGAAGAATGATAGGAAGGTAACAATGATCAGGATATGTAGTACTTATAAGTTGATGTGTTGAATTGAAACCCCTTTGTATAACCATTTAAAGATAATAAAAATTAAATGTTATAATAAACTATCTGTGTTGTGAATGTATTTATTTAGCAAACTGCACAGTAGGGATTTCTGTATTGTGTATTTCAAGTGTCTAATACATGTTTAAGTACTTGATAGCCACATATTGAATATTTGAAAATTGAGAAGTTTGATTGTAGTATTTAGAATTATATTAAAAATGTTGAGTTTGGGTAAAATTCATTATAAATCATTATCAAGGCAAAATTCAACAATGAATAGGAAGAATTATCCAAAAAGAACAAGTGAAATTTATTCCTGTCATAAAAAGCTGCTGCCTTAATGCTTGAAATTTAATTAATATATCATGTCAATAGACTAAAGAAAAGTCATATGATCTGACAAATAGCTTTTTTTAAAAAACAAACAAGACAAGTTATTAATCTTGCATCTAAGGCTGCTTGCTGGCAGCTGCCATCGAATGTGATTCTGTTCAGACCTCTCTGTCCTTAAGGTGTTAGTTTATGATCACATCTTGGTCTTTTTCACTATTTTCAGCTCCTCCCAAGCTTAGAGAACTAGCAGGCTCTACTCTTGAATTCTTGGCTGAAGTGGCTGGGCATGAATCTAAATGTCCATGAAGAAAGTATATCTGTAATGTGAACTAAAAAGAATGAATAATATCTTCCCCCTCTGTAAAATGAACAGTATGTACACAGACATGTTCAAATAGTGTTAAAAGTATGTTCTCCAAGAACCACTGGAGTCACAACAATAGACACGAAAATAAAGAATTGCCTCAGCAAGCAAAATTTACTCTGTAGAAGGGTGGGCCAACAGCTAAAAATCTGGCAAGCAAGCACATAGAGCAGGCTCCTCTATTTATCCCTAACACAGCAGGCCCTGCTGCCTCTGCTCAGATTGGTTGAGCTCAGATTCACAATCTGCTCACGATAGGTTAATCTGAATAAGGTAAAATATATATTTACATAAGGTGACCATTAACAGACTTTGAAATAAGATTAACAGTACATAAATAATCTCAAAACATACCCATAGTCTCTGTCATTTCTTGAACAAACTGTGGTGTATCTTAATTCCATCTTGAAAAAAACCAACTTAAGACAAAACTTTACTTTTCAAAATTTTTTCCTTATCCCAAAGCAGTTCCTCTTTTGCTTAACTGGAGCCAAGCTACCTGGCCAGAGTAGGAACTTTTAAGTAACACACTTTTAATAGAAAAGACAGTTTTTCTCCTCATAGGCATAAAGAAGTCAAATAATGCATACCAAGCTAATAAATATTATAAGTTCTAGAAAAGCAATAATGGATTAGTCCCCATCCACAAGACAATATGCACCTTATTATTAGATTTTCCTTTTAATAATGACAAATATTTATTTAGTCAAATCACATTTCTAGAAGAATCTCATTTGTTAGCCTCTTTTCTGCAGTTGTATAATAAACAATCCAATAAATAATTCTGTTATGAATGAACATTACTTTAAAGCAAATTCTTCATCCTGGTTTTCAATCTCCTTTCAGCCTCTGACTTTGCAGCTTCTGGTATTTTTAGCAGGGTTGCAATACCATTTGTCCACCCTTAAACACTCACAATTTGCTTTTCTTTCTCAAGTTCTTAAACTCCAGTTCTCTTCCTTTAAAATGCACCCATTCTCTTCATTCCACCTTACCACATAAGATCAGGCTCCTACAACCATATGGAGAAGATAATTATTAGAGCTTTTCATTATCTGTGCTTCTGATATTTTTTTCCTCTCGAGGAAAGTACTGCCAGACAGATATTTAAAAATATTTGGGATCTTATTCTCACTCAAAAGCACCTACATGAGACGAAGTCAGGACATTCCACAATCTTTTAAGATTTTACACAGCTCCAGTCTTCCCTGTTTTGCCATCAGCCAAGAATGGGCTTTCTCACTACCCTTGAACAAATACTTATCACATCTCTATTCATGTCACTGGGTTTGTGAATCCTCCACTGTAACAAAAGATCATACTATGACCTGTATTTACTAACTGTTCACTATTTCTAGGATGACTAATGCCACCCATCAGGTTTGGTATTTGGTGAGATTCACTTCCTATGTTACCAACCCTTGTCTTGTATTCTTACATAGTGGTGGTGGTGGGCAAGTCTGGTTTCTTTCTCTTAGGGATACTAGTCTCATCATGAGGGCTTTACCCTATGATAGCCAAAACTCTAATTACTTCCCAAGGCCACAGAGCTATTTATTCCATCAAGTTGGGGATTAGGGCTTTAACATTTGAATTTTAGGAAAACTAAACATTCAGTTCAAAGCAAGGACTATGTTCATATGTTTTATTAGAACTATAATTGAAGATGAGATTGTTGTTTGAGAAAGAGATACTTGAAATTGGCTAAAGTACTGGAAAGTACTTCTGGTAGATTTCAGTGCCAAAAAGGAAGGAGATAAATAATTCAAATCTTGGTAAATTTTATTTTCAAAGTGACTTAATTCCTATTTTAAAGAGGGGGGTCAATGGGAAATTTTCCTTTTATATGCTTAACTAGAATAACAAAGAAAAAATAACTCAGTTCTGAAATTTTTTACTAGTAGTAGAATTAAAATTAAAAATTTTTCCAATGTACTTTAGGTTTCTAGCTAATTAAAATAAAAACTCCATAATATATCCTGTTAGAAGAGTATGAGGTTGACTTATTACCTGTTTCTATTTCTTAGAAGTTAATTGACTTAAGGAACAGAATAAAAAGTACATGGCAGTTTTATGATCCAGTTTTTAATTCTGTTGTGAATGTGTTTTCTTGATAGTACAGATTTTCATTCTGTATTTACAATTGCTGAATTCTAGTGTATATTTAAAATCAGAATAAGGAGTAAAGTATCCTTGAAGGACTTTCCTCTTCTGTTGAAGTATAATTTTACTGGAAACCAAAGCAATCCCAATTTTAGCTTAAAGAGCTTCTTATGTAATATGTACTCATTGCTAATTTATCAGAGATGATGTATTTCAAGCAAGACTGAATAATTTAATGAGTGGTTTACATAAGCCAAAAATCTATTCTTGTTATAAGAGAAAATAAAATTTGCTATCCCACAACTAAAGGAATGTTATCTGGGGGAAAATCTCTTCTCTAATTATCATTTGTCTATACATACATACACACACGTATGTATGTATGTGTGTATGTATGTATGTATGTATGTATCTATACCTCATCTATCTCATCTAATCTGTCCTGACTTTTATCTATCTGTGGAAAGATTGAATGTTAAAAAGGATAGGGCTTATTTTATTAAAGTTTTTGTTCTTTTCTATAATAAAGACCTTTTTATCATGTTTTACTTTAGAAGCAGTAAATTCTTAGCTAAACTTTAATAAGGGCTGATACTTCGGGTGGGGGGGTGGGGGTGAACAAGTGAGGTGATTTAGTTTCCTGTTCTCAGCACAGAGCATAACACATAGAGGTGATCAATATTAACATATTAATTGATTTCCCATTTAAATCTGCTGTCTCAGTGCAGTGTGCCCAGTGCCAAATAAAAATTCTTTCATTGAGTTAACATAGTTCTTTGCTGAAGGTCATCTTTGTGAAGACTGCATTTCTCCCCAGCCACTTGGTGTATGCTTTTTATACCAGGATCCACCCTTGAAGCTTCCCACAATAGCTTCAGAAAACGTAACTTTCCTTTGTGAATCCAAGAATACCTACACTGGAAAAGTCCAGACTTCTCATGTAATAAGGCCAATACTTGAAGATGTGAACTTAATAGTCACAAAGTCGTTGCGTAGAAGTAAAGAAAAAAAATGAAGCTTCAATTTAACATCAATATTACATTTTGTTTTATTGAACAATTGGAAACCTAAAAATACTGCTTTAATATAAATACCACAGGCTAGTTGGCCCAAGTCTATAATTCTAAGCTACTTAGAAGGCAGAGATCAAGGGATCTCAGCTGGAAGCCTGCTAAGACATAGAAGTTTTCCATGTTCAGATAAGGCGCAGTGCATGCCTGTTATCCTAGCTATAGGGAAAGTACAATGGCTGCGTTTAGTAAAGCATGCCTGTTAGCACCCATGATATGAAGATGCACAAACAGAATGATCACATCCCAGCCCAGTCTGTACATAATGCAAGGCCCTATTTAAAAAGTAGGGTATGAGGACTGGAGATGTGGCTCAAGTGGTAGAGCGCCTCTCTTGCAAGTTTGAGTTAATTCCTCTGTTCTACACCCTCAATGTGCTAATGAGAATAAGAAATGATAAAAAAAAACCACAACTATATAGCACCAGAGGAAGTTTACTGTTCATTAATTATGTGCATTTTTTCATACAGGTATAATTTGGCCTCGAGTTTCTGCCTTAACAAGAAAGAACTGGGAAGTGCTCCTGAAAGAAAACTAAAAGAAGAAGAAAGCCCCAACTTATTTTTACATGGTTGTCAGCTCCTTTACAAATATGGACACTTTTTCCAACATTTTCCCATCTGGGGGAGACAGTAGGCAAAATGAAGAAGAGTTGCAGAAAGTGTTAATTGATGAAAGAGTACGATGTGAAAATCATAAAACGAATTATCAGACCCTGAAAGGTGAACACACAAGGTAAATTACTCAAATTTAAGAGGTAAGGTGCTGTGTGTGGGTAGTTAAAAAGTTATTTGGGCTGTCCTGGCTGAGTGTTCTGGAACAAAAAGTTGTGTGTGTGTATTATTATTTTATTCTTTTGTTGTTTTGGTACTGGGGCTTTTACTCAGAACCTGGGTACTGTCCCTTAGCTTTTTTTTTTTTTTTAATTGTGAAAATACCGTACAGAGGGGTTACAATTACATGGGCAAGGAAATAAGTACATTTCTTATCAAGCATTGTTGCCTCCTCCTATGTTTCCCCTTCCCACTCCCCGTCCCCTGCCCCCCCACCCCAAAGTTGTAAAGTTTGTTTTTGACATAACGTCTTGAATATCTCATTGTTGCAATGGGTCCACTTGTATCTCTATTTAAACTATTTGATTTTTCCCTTCCCTTCCACAAATTATGCCAACATCAAATACAGTGAAAATAGGGTTTATACCGTGGTGGATGTCCCTTAGCTTTTTGTCAAGGCTGGCACTCTACCACCTGAGCCAGAGATCTACTTCATCCTTTTTGTGGTTAATTAGAGATAGGAGATTCATGGACTTTCCTGCCTAGGCTAGCTTCAAACCACAATCTTCAGATCTCAGCCTTCTAAGTAGCAGGGAATATAGGAGTGAGCCATCAGCACTTAACTAACAGTAGAGTTTTGTAGTGTATTTATGAAACACTTTTAACATAGTAATTTTTTTTTCAGATCTATGATAGCAAGTGGTTTATGAATTTGTAAAGTCTTATTTAGATGGCTAAACTTATTTTTTCCTTCAAAGTAAAGTCTTTGTAGTTAAGTGGAAATTCATAAATAAAAGATTTGCAAATTTAATGAAATGTATGGTATTAGTCTTGCTTTTCTGTACTATTGGTTGGTTTTATACAAAGTAACTAGAAGCAAAGAATTCACTTAAATTGAATTCTTTTTTTCTTTTAAATTAGGTTGCAGAATGAGTACATAAACTCACAAAATGAACTCAAGAGGCTATTAAATGAAAAGCAAACTAGCCAGGAACATTTCCGTCAGCTGTGTGAAGAACTAAAAGAGCAATTAGTAGAGAAGAGTAAAGAGTTGGAAAAAGCAAAGTTGCAGGTGAGAAAATATATTTGAGTTCATATGAAAGTAGTCAAATGATTAATGGAAATATGTAATTTTGGAAAATGTGTCAAATCTCTGTTTAATTATTAAGTTTTATATCTCCAGTTGATATAATTGAATCTTCTTTCAAATATCATCTAAAGTAGACATGAAACTAATAGTTTTTTACAAATTAGTATTGTATCTTTACTCTGATTAAATTTATTTTTTATGCTTCAGAATAGTTGAGAAAGTTCATTTTGAATTGGTTAAAATTCAGAATTAAAGTTGTTTTTTTTTTAAAGAAAGATGTTTTAAGCTAGGGTTCTAGTGGCTCACACCTGTAGTCCTGGCTACTCAGGAGGCTGAGACCTGGAGGATTGTGGTTCCAAGCCAGCCTGGGCAGAAAAATCTGCAAGATTCCATCTCTGATTTACTGTAAGAAAATGTTTGACTGCAGGTATGGCTCAAGTGGGAGAGCACCATGTATACGCATGCACATGCACACACATGTTACTGAGACTTCTAGAAGTTTTCCATTGTTGAGAACATTATTAGACCTGAGTGGGACTCTCTGCTAGGCTCCTATACTCACTGTTTCATTCCTAGCTGTATTTGAGACATTTAAGCAAATAAACCTCAGAAATGTGCTGGGTACCCATGGCTCACGCCTGTAATCCTAGCTACTCAGGAGGCTGAGATCTGAGGTTCAGAGCCAGTAGTTCAAAGCCAGCCTGGGCAGGAAAGTCCATGAGACTCTTACCTCCAATTAATCACCAGAAAACCGGAAGTGGCACTGTGGCTCAAGTGGTAGAACTCTCGCCTTGAGCTGAAGAGCTCGGGACATCACCCAGGCCCAGAGTTCAAGCACACATCTGACAAAACAAACAAACAAAAAAGAACCTAAGAAATGTGACTTGAAGAAGGAAATTTAAGTGGCTGATAAGGTCATACTAAAGTATGGCAAGTCTTTATCTCATTATAACTGGTATTCTTATATAAAAAAAGAAGACGTGAAACACACAGAGAGACAACCTCAGGGTCCAGGGAATGCTATGTGATGATGAAGACATATGTATGCCAGTATACCACCAGCACCTAGGAAGAAGCACTGAAGCATCTTTTCTACAGGTTTCAAAGGGAAGATGGCCTTGCTCTAGTACCTACATTCCAGAATTGAAGTCTCCAGAACTTTGTTAGACAATAGATTTTTCTTTTGTTTTTTAGCAACCCAGTTTTTGTTATTCTATATAATACACATATACATTATATAATACATATATATTATCAAAAGTGGAATTCTTTCCAGAGCATTTTTTAGCATCAATTTCTTTATTCTTTCCTTCAGTGCTTTTAGTGTTAGAGAACCTAATGAATTTTTTTTTTTGGTTTGTAGACTAGGGTGGGAGTGGTGGGGACAGCCATGTTGTCCAGGCTGGCCACTAACTAGATTTCATCCTGCCTTTGTCTCCGGTTCAAAAGTAATTGGAATTTTAAACATGCATCACCATGCGTGGCTACCTAGTGAGCTTTTAAAAGTAACACATTTCCATTTATGGATTGGAATATGTTAAAGATTTTTTTCTCTCATATTGAGATGAATCATCACCCTGTGGCCTCCTTGCTAGTTCTTACACTGTTTCTAGGATCTATACAAAAGAACCTTATATGTTTTTCCATGTTATAACTTCCCAAATGCTTGCTAGTAAATATATTTTATCTGGTAAAGTTTCTGTTTGCAAGATAAACATAATGTTTTTTATATAATTTTATCTGGCAAAAAATAAAAGTCATATATACACATATAAGGCAATTTTGTTTTAATGGATGTTTGCAATTTTTCCAAATTGCAAGAAAACTTTAGTAAGTTTGGCAGTAAGATAGATCACCAAGAAATGGAGGTTTATTAAAGATGATCTACTAAAACACATTCCCTAACTGCAAAAAATATCCCTTTTCTAAGATTTCATATCCCTTTGGCTTTTATAGAAAAAGATGCAAAAGGTATTTATTTAGAGAACATTCCTCCATCCATAGTGAATGTAAATAATTGTCCCTAGCTCATAAGATAATTGTAAAGATGAAATGAGGTATTCAGCACTTTAACTTATTTAGTGATCAATAAGTAATAGAAGCTATCATTGTTACAGATTGAATATGCCTTACCTGAAATACTTGGGACTAGAAGTGTACAGATTGTGGAGTTTTGAGATTTTGAAATAGCTCTGTAGTCTTCATTGATTGAGTATACCTTGAAAAATCTGAGACTTTTGTTGTTGTCACTGGCACTCTGCTACTTTTTGAGCCTTGACATAACATTCAAAACGGTGTTAATATTTGAGTATTTCAGTAGAAAGGTGGGCAAAAAAAAGATGAAATATACCTCTAAAATGGGAAGTCAACACACAATCCAAAATCTTTTTCATAAGTTAAACTGAAGGAAAACAGCTACAGTTTCATCTAAGAAAACTTAAAATCAGGGGTGTTCTGCTGGTTTCAGAATAGTTGAAAATTTCATCTGAATCTTTTTAGTTTTAAATGTAAACCTTTTGTAAAATCAGGATAGGAACATGGAGAGTTAATTTTCAGCAGAGAACTATATACTGTTCCCTTCCAATATTTTATGAGATATACTTCCCAAAATAAGGAAGTCAGAAAGTAAAAAAGCAAATAATTGCCAGGAAAGGGGAAAGGACTTGCAAAAGAACCCTGAGCTGTTAAGAAAGGAAGAGAAACTTTAAGAGAAATTTTTTTTTTTTTTTTTTTGGGTCCGGTCATTGGGCCTGAACTATGGGCCTGGGCGCTGTCCCTCAGCTCTTCAGCTCAAGGCTAGCGCTCTACCACTTGAACCACAGTGCCGCTTCCGGCCTTTTTCTTTTTGCTTATGTGGTGCTGAGGAATCGAACCCAGGGCCTCGAGCATGCAAGGCTCTACCACTGAGCCACCTTCCCAGCCCTAAGAGAAATTTTTGAGATTCTGATTACACTGTAATAGTAAGCCAGATTAATTTCTGCAGTATCATACTGAAGGTCTGTTTATTAACTTACTTCAATAATTGTGTTTGTTTCTATTCTTCCCTGTGGCTAGCTCCTGTTTCCAATTTTCAAGCTCAGCGATCTTTTTTTTTTCTGCAATGTCTAATCCATAATAGGCCCTTGTAGTATATTTATCTTAGAAACTGTAATTTTCATCTCTAGAAGTTTGATTTTGGCCTTTTTGGTTTTTTGTTTTGTTTTGTTTTTGGTTAATCATGGGGCTTGAACTTGGGGTCTGGGTGCTATCCTTGAGCTTTTTTTTGTTTAGGGCTGTACCATTTTGAGCCAAAGCTCCACTAAGAGTTTCATGGACTTACATGCCGGGACTGGCTTTGAACTGTGATCCTCAGATCTAAAATCTTAGCTATGATTATAGGCATGAGCCACGAATGCTTGATTGATTTGGGTGTTTTTTGTCTACTAACATGTTCCATCTTTTCTCTAGCTTTTTGAACATATGGGATTCAGTTATGGCAGTTTTATAATAACTGAGTATCTTTCTCTGCTGCTTTTAACATTTATGTTCCTCTTTGGTGTATTTCATATTGATTTTTAAAAAAAATTCAACATTTTCCTGCTCCTTTGCATGCCTGTTAAATTTTTATTTGGATTTTAGACATCACAACTTTTACTTTGTTGAGTGCCTGATATATTTATGTTCCTATAAGTGTTCTTATTTTAAGATTTGTTAAATGAAAGCAGAGTCACATTTAGTGTGGTGATAATTATTTCCCACTGCTGAGGCAAGATCCAACGGCTTACCCATTTCTATATGAAATGAAATTTTTCATTCTGGCTTTTTGGAACAGCAATTATTCATAGATTTGTTTGAGTTCTGAGTACTCATCCCTCTAATCCTTTCAGATGGTTCTTTTCCTTTTAGTAGTTTCCTTATACAAATATGCTCATCAGTACTCTACTGAATGAGCCAAGTACTTCTGCAGATCTTTATAGTTTTCTTACTGTGCAATCTTCTTTTTTTTGGTTGTCGTGGGGCTTTGAATCGCAGTCCTCAGATCTCAGCCTTCTGAGTAGCTAGGATTACAGGTGTGAGCCACCAGCGCCTGGCTTGTACATTCTTCTTCTGTTTTGTGACTAACCACTATGGTCTCTTGAATTCTGAGTTCTGTCACAAGGCCAGGAGTTCATCAGAACTGGCTTGGATATACCTTGCCGATGACCCTGGCAAAACCACCTTTGTTTTCTATCTCTTAGGAAACTCTTTTGCTTCCTTGTGTTTGATGTGTTGAAAACCATTGTTTAATATTTGTTAGTTTTTTTTTTCTCATGTGGGATAACATATTTATACATCTCTCTATATAACCATATCTATATAGCATCTCTCTCTCTCTCTATCTCTAGAGAACATTATTCTGTCTTGGGTAGAGTGGAAGCCCTGTTATTTTTAATTAACTTAATTATGGAAATCTCAGACATGTACTGAAGTATAGAGAATTGTGTAATAAATCATTGTGTACTTATCCACCCCCATTAGCCATTATTGTCGTTGAGCCTGTCTTATCTACTAATCTACTACCTCAGCTTTCAGTCTTTCAATGACAATGAATTAATAATAATTCAACCCTAATAAATTTAGTATAGATCACTATTACATGACAAGGCACCCCTCTCCCATCCCATCCCTCCCTCCCATCCCATTCCCCCCTACCTCTTTCTCGCTCGCTCTTTTCACTCACTCTCTCGCTGGTACTAGTATTTGAACTTTGGGCCTTGTTTTGTTCAGCTGTGCTTGCTAATTAGAGCTTCATCACTTGAACCATGCTTCCAGCCCAACTTTTTTGCTGGTTATTATTATTATTATTTTTGGTAGAGGAACTTTCAAAAACTTTTCTGCCCAGGCTGGCAGATCCTCTGGATCTCAGCCTCCTGAGTAGCGAGGTAAGCCTAAACCACTGGCACCTGGCACCAACCCATCCTTTGAAAGTATTATCATGTTAGCCAGGTGCGGGTGGCACATAGATGTAAGCCTGATAATTGGGTTCGAAGCCATCCCAGACAGAAAAGTCTGTATATCTCCATATATATTTTTGTTGTTGTTGTTGGTTATGGGGCGTGAACTCTGGACCTGGGCACTGTCCCTAGCTCTTCAGCTCAAGGTGAGTGCTCTGCCACTTGAGCCACAGCGCCACTTCTGGTTTTCTGGTGGTTAATTGGAGATAAGAGTCTCATGGACTTTTCTGCCCGAGCTGGCTTTAAACCCTGATCCTCAGATCTCAGCCTCCTGAGTAGCTAAGATTACAATCATGAGCCACCAGTGCTCAGCTTGTATCACCAATTTTTAAAAAGTATAACTCTATAACCTTTACCAAGTTAAAATACTTATTCCATAATACCTATGAATAGTTTCCACTTCCATAGTATTTCCAGTTTTGCTTAATTCTTAAGTTGATTTGTTTGAAACAATATCCTATGAATTTTTTCCTTTAATTAGTTAAACTCTTGATACTATCCCCCAGACCTGACACTATAAACCAGATTATGACATGAGCTTTTACTATTGGTTTTCTCTAGCCTGTTATATTTCTCACAGGAACCACTTTCTCCTTCCAAAGCTTCTGTTTCATCCTTACATATACTAGTATTGTTATATTTTAACTTTAAACACTTTCAAAGAATACAATAACAAGGCACAGAAAAATGTGTATAAAGTGCTTTTTAAATTTTTTATTTTTTCACATAGGATCTTACTGGGTAGGCCAGGCTAGCTTATATCCTCTTGCCTATCTGGCATTCCTAGTGCTGAGATTATATAGATGTCCACTAACCACATTTAGCCTTATATACTTTTTTTAATTTTTTACTTAAAAATTAGAGCCTGGAATAAAACATACCTGCCTACACATTGTATATAGAATATTGTTGTCTGAGGGAGGATTCTCGAGAAAATATTAATAATAAAATTGTTTCTGTTGAGGTGGACCATTTAACTGAGCTATAAAGACATTTCAAATAAAGTAATGTTAAAGTAAATACTGTTGAACACTGAATAAATTAGGAAAATCTAAACCTAGTATTTAGGAGTTTTCAACTCTGGGTTTAACCTTGTTGTCTTTCTCTTTCCCAGCAAGGTTGCATGCAGCCTTTTCATTTGTCATGTGGGAATAGGTCAGCATGGTGTCAGTTGCATAGAGTCTAAAGATTTCCATCATTATTAATGTATGGTCAGGGAGGAGCCAAATTTGGTTTTGGAGGCCAGAGTAAAAATTAGCTTTTCTGATTGAAAGCAGGTCTGAAGAATTTACTTTGGATAACAGTTTTTTGTACCTCCATTTTATTTATTTTAGACAATAGATTATCAGGTATTATATTCAGCATGATTATCTTAGTTTAGCTATTCTTAAAAATAGTGGTAATAATTAGTGATTATCATTACTTGCATTGGCAGATTTTTTTGACATCTCTGAGAACATGAAATTGAGATTCTTAATGTGTGACAAGTGATAGTGATTTTAGTAAAATTAGGCTAGAAATTTGGAGGTTTTTAGTTTTTAAATATTTTTTAAAAAATTTAAAATTTTATTTTAAAGATGACAGATAGGTTGCAGTTATATAAGTCAAGTAGTGAGTACATTTCCTTTTGAACAGTGTCACTGCCTCCCTCATTCTTCCCTAGTTTTTCCCCCTCTCAACTTTCTTTCCCCACCAAGCTGTATAGTTCATTTCCAACATAGTGTCTAATGGGTTTCACTGGTGAATTGGTTTACCCTTGGTCTCACCATTTCATGAGAATGATCGCTCTATGTATCCCAGACTATTTTGATCCTGCTGCCTCAGTCTCTAGAGTGGTAGGATTGTCGATGTGTACCTCCAGGTCCAACAGATTTGGAAAATACATGATTTTAGTAATTGTGGTTTCACTTTTTTTTTTTTACATATTAGGTATTAAATCCACAACATCTAGAATTGTTAAAAGCCCAAATACAACAAGAATTGGAAGCTCCAATGCGAGAACATTTTCAGAATTTGGACCAAGTAAGTAATTCTATAAAACCATTTATCCTTATTTGACTTTTAAAGTCTTGATGAAAAGCTCTGCATTGGCTTTCCTTTCTACTCAGAGTCCTTATGGTGGCCTCCCAAGTCTTCACAAGATTGAACTCCATTGCTGCTCTGAGCTCCTTTCCTCCATACATTTGTCTTCTGATATTTCTTTTGCACTCAAGAAACATAGTTAAAGATCCTTTGCTTTCATGTTATTTCTACCTTGAATATCTTCCTGATAGCTCTAGTCTAACTTCTCAATCCTGAACAAGTTTAAGGTTAAAATGTCACTTTCTGATTAAGACCTACTTTGACTGCCACCTCTTTCCTCTTTTCTTCAATTATATTGTAGTTACTTTGCCTATCACTGCTCAAACCTTTGGATACCACTTACCTTTCTTTGTGTTTTTTTTTCTTCTAATGTATATCATCATTAAATTGGTACCTAATTTACTTATTTATTGTGCTTATTTTCTGTGTTTAATCACCTCTAGAATGGAAGTTACATGAGAGGAGAACTATATCAATTTTGTTCATTATTGCATTCCGAATTCCCAGGACAGTTCCTGACATACAAGAGATGTTCATTTAAAAAGTTGTTGAATAAAAGGATGACTCATACTGTCTCAAAGAGGAAATTATTTGTTAGCTTTACTTTAAGTGGAGACTAGTCTTCTTTTAAGAAATATTGGTATAATTTAACTACATGTTTAATAAAGGGAATTGGAGAAGACTACAGAGAAGTCAATTAGGTACTGTGCTGGACAATTTTACATATTCCTTTTTTTTTGTCAGTCTTGGGGCTTAAACTCAGGGTCTGGGTGCTATCCTTGAGCAATTTTGCTTAAGGCGAATACTCTGAGCCATATCTCCACTTCCAGTTTTCTGTTGGTTAATTAGAGATAAGAGTCTCATAGACTTTCTTGTCCAGACTGGCTTTGAACTGCAACCCTCAGATCTAAGCCTCCTGAGTTCTAGGATTACAGGCATGAGCTACCAGCACTTAGATTACATATATATTCATTTTTTTAAACACTTAGACCTTTCACATACCAATGATTATTATTCTCTGCAGAATAGACCCCTTTAGAATGTTGTCGTCTTTGATACTTTTATTGAACAAGATGAATGTGAAATCTTTTAATGTTTTATTGAATTCACAATAGTGTTTCAAACATATGTGTAGTGGCAAAGTTTTGTGGGTTAGGAGAAGATTTAATTTTTGATAATGAAGTCACCCAGACCCAAGGAAGGTGATCAAATTAAGTAAAAGCAGGTTTTTATGTGGCAGTACTGAGGCTTGAACTCTGTCAAACTGAATCACATTTCTAATACTGCTTTTTGCTGGTTATTTTGGACATGGAGTCTAGTGAACTTTTCTGTTCAGTCTGGCTTCAAATCATGTTTCTTGAGATCTGAGATTTCTGAGAAGTGAGAAATACAGATGTGAGCCCCTGGCCTTTTTTTTTTTTTTTTTAAATACTAAGTATAGCTGGGTGCCTGTGGCTCACGCCTGTAATCTAGCTACTCAGGAGGCTGAGATCTGAGGATCACGGTTCAAAGCCAGCCCTTGCAGGAAACTCCGTGAGACTCTTATCTCCAATAAACCACTAGAAAACCGAAGTGGTCCTGTGGCTTAAGCGGTAGAATGCTCGCCTTGAGCTGAAGAGCACTGGGACAGTTCCCAGGCCCAGAGTTCAAGCCCCATGGCCGACAAAAAAAATTTAAAAAAATATATTAGTAACAAAATCAAACATATTTTCTTGGTTTATAAACTGGCTCAGAAATCTTTCAACTAAAGATGACTAAATTGAATATGAACCATACTTTTCCTTATTACCTAGATTTCTAGTACTTGTTGAAACAGTCTCTTGCATCTTTCTGCTATATTGCCTGTTTCTTTTTGATAATTTAGAATGCTATCAATTTTTGTAGACTTTTTTGGAACAATGTTTTCTAGAGACTTAGAGGAGAGATGAAATGCATCAGGCTCGTGTAGAGTTGAACTATCATTAATTCAGAACTAAGTTACTGTAGTAAGCACATGTTTTTTGGTTGGTTTTTGTTGTAGTTTTTGTTTGTTTTCGTGCTGGTCCTGGGGCTTGAACTCAGTGCCTCATGTTCTCACTGAGCTTTGCTACAAGCTTTACCACTTGAGCCACAACTCCAGTCTGGCATTTTTGCTGCTTAATTGGAGATGGAATCTTGCAGACTTTTCTGCCTAGTTGGCTTCAAGTCTTCTGAGTAGCTAGGACTACAGGCAAGTGCCACTGGCTCTGGCTAAAAACAGCCATCTTTTATCTACTTTGAATTTATCTTGTGATTTTTTTTTTCTTAGAAGAGATACCTTTTTTAATACATACTTTAAAAATCTAGTTAGATTTTGAAATGTAGGATGTATTCTTACATATTATTAATTAAGGCTAAGGATATATACTTTTATACTGCTATATATTTTTATTACAATGAAGAAATATTAATTGGATGGTAAATGACTATGGGTACCTTCTCACAAGTGTAGCTGTTCTGTATATGGAATACTTAGGAGGACTTTTCCAAGTTTCATTTAAAATCTGTTGCAATTTATTTTTTTAGAATGGCCTTCTATATAATGTAACTAAAATTACATTTGTAAATATGATTTTTTGAGTAAGTAAATTTTGTTTATGAATTTGTCACATACTGCAATCTTTTTTTAAATTTAGGAAGTGGAAAAGTATCGAGCTGAATACAATAAGCTTCGCTATGAGCATACATTTCTCAAGTCAGAATTTGAACACCAGAAAGAAGAGTTTGTACGTATTTCACAAGAAGAAAAAATGAAATATGAATCAGAGGTAAATGTTTAATTTTACTGCATTGAAATTGTTCCAGTCAGCAAAGTTTTATGTTTGGAATTTTAAGATTATATATATTTTTATAAATTCTAATTTTGATTTAAATACATTATGTATTTATTAATTATGTTTGATTAATGGTGAAATATTTGCTATGATGATTCTTTTCTCTTTGTCAACATTTTTCTTGTGTTTTTTTTTTGTCTGTTTGATAAGACAGGCTAGAACTAAGGATTTTTATGCCAAATGGTTAACCAGATTGTGAATACATAGGAAAGGTTCTTAAATGGAAACATGAGGTACTGGTGGCTCACACTTGTAATCCTAGCTACATAGGAGGCTGAGTTCTGAGGATCCTGGTTGGAAGCTACCTTGAGCGAGAAAGTCTGTGGAACTTCTTTTTTATTTATTTATTTTTTTAATTGTGAAAATACTGTACAGAGGGGTTACAATTACATGGGCAAGATAGTGAGTACATTTCTTATCAAGCATTGTAACCTCCTCCTTTGTTTACCCTTCCCATCCCTTCCCAGCCTCCCCCCACACCCAGTTAACCACCAACAAAATCTGAAGTAGAGTTGTACTTCAAGTGGTAGAATGCTAGCCTTGAGTAAAAAAGTTCAGGGACGGTGCCCAGACTCTGAGTGCCCTGAGTTTAAGCCTCAGGACCAGCAAGAAATTAAAAAAAAAAAAGAAATGGGAAATGCTCCTTCAGTGATCACAGAAATGATTAAAGGAAAATTGCTGATGTGAGAAAGTTTTAATGGAGTGCATAGAAGACTAAAATAACCATAACCTCCTCTTAAGCCTAAAGCCTAATCCAGTATCCTAACTTTTTTCTATTCTATAAATGCTGAAAAGGGTATGTATATTAGTCAGCTTTCCATTACTGTAACAAAATCAACTTAAAAGAGAAAAAGGTTATGTTGGCTTATAGTTTTGGCCCCGGTTGGTTTGGGTTGGTGACATCAAGTACATCATTGTATGAGTGATTGGCAGAGCAGCTTCTTCCGCTCATGACTTAGAATGAAAAAGAGAAAAAGAAGAAGGGTTATGATCCTGCTTTTCTTTTTGAGGATACAACCCCAGTCCCTTAAGATTTCCAGTTTCTCCCAGTAGCATCAAGATAGAGAATAAGCCTTTAACACATTGGGCTTTGGGGGAATTCCATTTTCCAGTGACAGTAGTGAGGAGGTTGCAGAAGAGTTTGAGCCTAGTGGAAGTGGGTTTATGAGGTTTAAGGAAAGAAGCTGTCTATAACGCGTAAGTACAAACATTGGGGTAGATGCTGTGTAGTTAGTTAAGATATGTTGAAGGTGACTAAACTACAAAACATGTAGATGATAAAGTTCTGTATTGGAAGGTGACATTTGGGACTTCATAGCTTGAGGGAAGAAGTCAGTACTTCAAAGGACAGACTTACTCTCCAGATAGGGGCTAATGCAACTGTTGTATTTAAGTTGAAGCCAGTGCTTACTTAGCATTATGAAAAATTCTAGGCACTTAAGAATCATACTAAAATTTACTCTGCTTATGCTATACAAATGGAGCACTGAAGCCTAGATAACATGCCTGTTTACAACATAGTCTCTGAATATTTTAAGCCCATTGTTGAAAGCTACTTCTCAGATGTAAAGATTAAATATTACTGCTCATTGGCAATGCATTTACCTGGTCACCTAAAGAACTGTGATGGAGATACATAATGAAATTAATCTTGCTAATAAACCATTCTGTAGGCAATAGATCAAGGTTTCAAGTCTTACTGTTTAGGAAATATATTTCATAAGGCTTATAGATACCATAAGTGGTAAGTCTTCTCATGGATATAGGCAGATTAAATTGGGAACCCTCTGGGATTGATTCACTTAAATGCCACTGAGAACATTTGTAATTCATGAAAAGTTGTCAAAATACCAACATTAGAAAGAGGCTGGGAGAAGCTGATTTCAATTCTCTTAGATGACTTTGAGCTGTTCATGACTTCAGTGAAGGTTCTGTAGTTAACTGTAGATCTAGTGGCTCTAGCCAAGAGTATTAGAATGAAGCCTGAAAATGTGACTTAGTGTTTGCATTCTCATGATGAAACTTCAGTGGATGAGAAATTGCCTCTTACGGATAAGCAAAGAAAGTAGTTTAATTTTGCCTACCTACCTGCCCTCACTCCCTCCCCCCTTTCTTTTCCTTTCCTTTCCTTTTCTTCTTTTCTTTGGTGCTGACACTAGGGTAGTAGGGCTTGAACTCAGGACTTAGCTTTTTTGCTCAAGATTAGTCTTTTACCACTTGAGCCACAGCTATACCTTTGACTTCTGGGTGGGTAGAGATAAGAGTGTCAATGGTTTTTCCTGCTGGGGCTGGCTTCAAACCTTGATCCTTAGGTCTCAGCCTCCTTACTAGCTAGGATTACAGGAATTACCAGCACCTGCTTAGAATGCAATCTCTTTAGATAGAGTTTTTCTTGGGTAAGATCATCTGAATAGTAATGAAATGACAACAAAGAATTTACAATATTACATCAACTTAATTGATATAGCAGTAGCAGAATTTAAGAGGATTCCAACTTTGAAAGAACTTCTACAGTAGGTAAAATGGCATCCAAGAGAACCAACATGATACACAGAAGCTGATGGTGAAAGGAATAGCTGATTGATGAGGAAAGCTCATTATGGTCTTATTGTAATAAATTGCCACAGCCTCCAGCCCACAGCAGTTACCATCCTGTTGAGTCAGTAGTCATTAACACGGAGGCAAGACCCTTCACCAGCAGAAAGTCACTGAAGGCTCTGCTGGTTATTAGCATTTTTCAACAATGAAGGTTTTTTTTTTTTTTTGCCGGTCATGGGGCCTGAACTCTGGGCCTGGGCGCTGTCCCTCAAGCTCTTCAGCTTAAAGCTAGCGCTCTACCATTTGAGCCACAACACCACTTCTGGCTTTTTCTGCTTATGTGGTGCTGAGGGATCAAACCCAGGGCCTCATGCATGCAAGGCAAGCACTCTACCACTGAGCCACCTTCCCAGCCCAAGTTTTTTAGTATTATTATTCAATTGTACATTTTTCTTAAATGTTATACTGCCTTATTCATGGACTTAGTGCATGTGGTTTTGGCTAATCACAACAAAAGAATTTCAAAATAAAATTTAAATTCTTGCATGTGTACTACCTAGTTCTGTTGGTATAAAAAGTTTTCAGTCCTGAATTATCAATTTTGTCATTGTGTGATCTGCTGAGTGGTTCACTGCTTTTAATTTTGTGAAAATATGCCTCTCCCCAAAAAAATGCCACCCTAAAAGCAAGGTAAAAGTTAATGTGCTTAATTTAAGTGATTTAAAGAAAGTATCTAAAGAAAAATTAAGATTTAACCCAATGTCTTCTAGATGGTTGAAGATGGGTATTAGAATTGTAAGAGACTGGGGCTAGTGTACACAAGATCATCTGGTTATTCCTTACAATAATTTCTTGGATGTGAACCTGTCATCTGTAGATACAGATTTTTTTTGAAAATAAGTAACCAAGCCAGAAATTGTGATAAATACTTATCATTCCAGTACTCAGAAGGCTGAGGAGGTAGATACAGATTTTTTTTGAAAATAAGCAACCAAGCCAGAAATTGTGATAAATACTTACCATCCCAGTGCTCAGAAGGCTGAGGAGGGTAATAGAGTTTGAAGCCAGCTTGGGCTACATATTAGACCCTATCTCAATCACTCCTCACCCCTGGTTTAAAAAAAAAAGAAAGAGTGGAGGTAGATAATTTGTACAGAAGAACAAGGATAGGAATAATAGTATACTTCTTTTTAGAAATAATACAAGCCTGAAGAAAATAGCAGTGTCTTAAAATACTGAAAATAAAAGATGCTAGGTGGTTTGACTCGAGAGCCTACTCATTTACCCATTTCCTTTTGTTGTATCATAAAGGAAATAAAACCAAAGATGAATGAAACAATTATATAGACTACCTTTCTTTCTTTATGCTTTGGGAGCGCTGGAATGGCACTTTCATTCTTTGAAAAGAATAGCAACCACTCTTTCTATTCAGTGATCTGTTTTTGTCCATTTCCTCTATTTCAACAATTGTTGGAAAATTGGTTAATACATTGTTTTACCTGTCGAACAAGTTTATATTTTAGACATGAATAAAGTAAATATAGAGGTAACTGTGATACTGGCAGATTTGGATAAATGTCATAAAAAGAGAAATTCAGAGAAAGACCTTTGGAAATTTAGAGGGAAAGTTAAGAGCAAAACAAATGATGGACATCAGAGAAAATGACAGATGAATCTGATTAAGGGTGGAGGAAAGGAAAGAGCAGAGAATGTGTCCACGATTGTACCCAGATGAATGAGACTGGAGTAGTAGTATGGCAATGATTGAGTATGAAAGACCTTCACTGCAGAGCTTTTGTGTTTGTTTTATCTGCTATATTGCATGTACCCTCACTACGTAAAATAGCACTAGTACACAGTATGTACTCAATAAATATTTACTATTAGTAAATGAATACAGGAATTAGAAGGTGGTCATCACCTGCTTGTGCAAGGATGATGTGATAGTGAGTTCTGGTCTAGGAATTGTACATGTAGGATATAATCAAGACTTTACAATCTAGTAGCTGCTATTGCTTCACCTATCATTACAGCTGTCACACAGATGCCCCTTAAAACTTATGGAGAAGCAGTAATATAGGAAGCATGCTGGTAGAGATCATGAACTATGTAAGTGGACATTGCAGAAGCAGTGTTACTATTGATTTGGTATGTAGGGTACTTATTTCAGACTTTGATCCATAATAAACACCATTTACTGGATCTGTTATTCATTGAATCCTGTGATGAGTTGTCATACTTCTAACACATTAAAACTGTATTTGGGGGCTGTGCTTTTAGCTCAATAATAGAGTCATAGCCTAGATGTAAAGACCATGGATTCAGTCCTCACCACTGCCAACAAAACAAAACAAAAACTGAGTTACCTCATGTAAAAACTGAGCAATGTCTTAAAGATCATCCAACCCAAGCCCTTCAATTAAACTGAGGCCTGAATGAACATGTGACTTAAAGTCACACAGTGAGCTGAAAGAAAAATTGGAAATAGGTTAGTCCCAGATCGAAAGTCAGGGTAAGGGTTCCACGTACACTATGGAAAGAATAGGAAACAGATACTAATTAGTTGAGTTCCCCCCTCCCCAGTCCACATAGGGTTCTGGGGATTGAATTTAAGACTTTATTTATGCTAAGCAACTATTCTGCCACTAGATTACATCCCCAGCCTTAATAGGGCATTTGAAGGCTTACCTCAAAATGCTACAGGTGCCAGCAAGGATAAATTTTGTTTCTGTAAAACTGCATTCGACTTCTAGATACTCTACTTATATTTCTCATTTATACTTTAACTGAGCATGTTCAAACCTAAACTGCTTTTACCACATTGTAAGATTGACAAAGATCTTAGAGTGTTGCTAAGTTCGATCCTCTATTTTGCAGATGAAGAAACACATCCTGCCCTGGAGTGGAGGTTTCAACCTCTTATACTTATTGATAGCTTTGTGAGCAATTGTCTTTTGGGCCACATTTTTTTAGGTCCCAAAACAATGCTTTAGGGTCCTTTTGCCTTAGAATCTTCAGAGTTAATTCCAGCTACAAATAACCATAACCATTGATCTTGCTTAAAACGGTAGTAGTTCCTTTTTTTTTTTTCCTAATAGTTGGATTCTCTGCTTGAGGATTGAATAATCAAATATGACCTAATGGTATAGAAAGAATTGATTGAGCTGGGTTCTGAATCAGTGGTAGATAATGTGCTTGCCAAGCATGTGTGAGGTTCTGGTTTCTTTCCCTAGCACAAAGGGCTGGGGAGATGAATGGTTAAGTGTAGTTAAGAGAGATGTGGTTCTGGTGGTAACGGTGGTGGAAAGAAGGGTATAGTGAGCTGGGGCTGGGGAGATCACAAAGTAAATAAAAATGAGTTTTAATCTGGTTGTTTGGCCCTTTAATCCCCAGAGACAGTTTCTCTTGAGTCCCTTAGACATTAATCCATTTGAAGCCCACTGATTTGGAGGCCCCTTGGGCCTTTGATAGTGATTGCTGTCTTGAAGGATAAGACCACTATTGTCTGCAAGTTTCCCAGTGATGTTAACATACACCCTGGAGTAAGTAGATGTAAAAAGTAAAACTAGACCATCATTTCTGCTAGGACTTTAGTAAAACTGTCAGCTATCATTTAAAAGCTTTCATTGACTATATTAGTATTGTGTTATAAAGCTGCCTTTGTGTGAATTAGTTGCCTTGAAATAGATAATTTATTGTTTTAGATCCACCCTAAGAATTAGTGTTATGTGAGAAGAAACTTAGGCGTAGTTAATGTATTGGATTTGCATGAGTGAATTTTAAAACATTTGATGTACTTTTAATCATCACTTTTATACTATTATTTCTAATTTTGAATTTTAGTCAGAAACTGATTAAGTCCTATTTTCAACACCATGTGGGGAGAGAGGGAAAATAGGACAGTCCTTGCCCTCAACTGTGAGTCACACTGAGTACACAATGAAGGGACGTGACAGTGGAGAATTTTTTCCCTTTTACTTCATTTCCCCATCTGAGCTTTCATGTTGTGTAATTTTTAATTTTAATTTACTGACTTGTAAAGCATGTTCATGACTAAAAATGTAATCATTTAAGCTTTTATGTTTTCTTTCACATGGTTATTAGGTTGCAAGACTGGAGAGAGATAAAGAAGAACTGCATAACCAGCTGCTCAAAGTTGATCTCACAAAAGACAGCAAACGCATGGAGCAACTTGTGCGAGAAAAAACCCATTTGTGTCAAAAATTAAAAAGTTTGGAAGCTGAAATAGCAGAATTAAGGGCGGAAAAAGAGAATTCTGGTGCTCAGGTAGAAAATGTCCAAAGAATACAGGTGCGGCAGTTGGCTGAAATGCAGGCTACAGTCAGATCCCTAGAGGTAAGGTTTTAATTGCTTCCCCGTAGAATATAGCATAGTTTTTAAAAGTACAATTGACAAGTGTTTGATTTTAGAGCAGAAATGTATGCTTACCAATCTGATGCTGACGCATTTGTGGAATCCCAGGAGTACATATTCTTCTGTAAAGAAGGCTATTGATTCATAATAGCCATGCTACCTCATTTATAAGGGATGTTTATTCTTAGGAGTTAAGTCACTTACCTCAAGTGAGTTAACTATTACAAAGCCAGAATACAATATTTAAAAAAAACCTCCCAAGTCAATTTGTCTTTGTCCGGACTAAAGTCATCCCAAACCAGAAAGAATAATTTCTTTTGAGATTGTAAATTCCTTACAATAGGATTTAAAAAAAACTTAAAATTGTAAGTCCTATTTGAACAGAAATAACATGCTTAACAATTAATTGTAGGACAACTTCTTGCCAGAGTAATAAAATTCAGCATGGTTCCTATTGCATTCAGACCTTTACTGGATTGTTTCGCTGAGTTCATTAGAGAAAGGGAAGTGTTGCAGAGCCATGCTAGGACTTCCGGAAGTATTACCTTACGAAAATTCACGGTTTCCATTTCATTCAGACATACCTCTTGTTTGAGCTGCCTAACATATAGAAAAGATAGGCCACTTTCAATTTTTCATTTATTCTGTGAAATTCAAGGTGTTTTCCTCTCCTCCCTGCTTTTAGAATAGTTGTGTGGGTTGGAGGGAAATGATCAGGCACCTAGTCTATAGTTAAATCAAATATCCAAATCCAAGATGATTTTTGTTTTGGTACGAGTACACTGATAGGTTTTAAAGAACAGAAGCCATTTTTATTTTGTTTTGGATGAAAACTATGTCAGCTTTTGCTGATTTTTTGAAGTAAACTTGCCAGTATCATTGACTCTTCAATGTTCAAAGTGAGATTATCTATGCTGTTCTTCTACCTATCATGTATTTGTGCCATGGCAAAGTAAATAGGGTGATTGCAGTTGAATATAGTATGTAATACCAATGTGAAACTTTTCACAAAGGTCACCTGGAGTGATTATTTTCAGAGCAAGTTGGATGAGGACAACAGATGGATGGTTCATTTGTGACATTTTTCAGAACAGCCTATATTTAATTTTTATTACTTATCAGATGAAATGAAAATAAGCACCTGACAGCCAATATTTCATTCTTCAACTTTTTTGGTTATCATTATGGCCAGAAAATTTCATTTGAAGAAACTAGCTTTTGTTTGCTGAATTATTTGTTGACCATAATCCTTAACATAGTTAACGTAAATAAAATTAAATGCTGTAAAACTAAAATTTATCCTTTAAATGCCAAAATGTTTTCATTTTAATTATCTTGAACAAAAGTATCCTTCATAAAGCTTTCAGTTTTCCCTCCCCAGAGAAAGACTACTTTGAGTAATACCATGGAGAACATTTTTGACAACTTACATACAGACTTCATTAAAAAATCTTGATTTATGTGATGAAACCAAGAGCTTCTTTGCAGATACTTCAAAGGGCTTTTGATTAGTTAATAACTGAATATTGTCTTTATCTCTCCCTTAAAAAAACCATTGATTTTATATTTTCAGATTTTTTCTTCTTTCTTCTGTTAGAGAGTCTTCCCTTGCTTTTAATATACATTTTTGTTATTTAGCAAACTACTAAGTAGCTTGGGAGTTATCTGGAACTCCAAAATGTTAGTTGAATGGTATCAGCATTCAAATAGGAATTCAGATAATTAGATGTGAAATGAGTGGCATGAAAAGTGTGTGTGAGCTATATTTTCTTGGTGGCTGATGATAAGTTACTGGTTCACATAACTATGTTGTATCTTTCATGGAACAAATATCTTTCACTTGTATTGGTTTAAGAAAAGTCTTCTTTCTTGGGTACATGTTGAAGATGTTGAGGGTTTTAACAATTTTTTGTATCATAGCAAATGAATTATAAATAATGCCTAGTTTATTTTGATATAATGTGAAAAGTAATGAACAAATTTTAAGATATTTTGTGTTATTGAAAGGCTGAAAAACAGTCAGCTAAACTACAGGCTGAACGCTTAGAAAAAGAGCTACAATCAAGCAATGAACAAAATACTTGCTTAATCAGTAAGTTACATAAAGCTGATCGGGAAATAAATACACTGACCAGTAAAGTAAGTTGTCTTTTACTTTTGTTTCATTTTTTAGAAAACTTAAAACTGTAAAATGAGAATCAAATTTGTTGTTTAATTCTCTATATTGAAATTTTTTTTATCATATCTAAACACGTAGAACCTAATTCTTAGGGGCAGTGTGCATGACTGCTGGGACCAAGAGGAAAGTCAGCAGGATTTGAGTATGTTGGTCTCATTGGGGAGATAATTCTTACTAGGAGATAATAAACCAGTGTGTTTTAACCTGTGTTCATAAAGCAGTTCATTTACCTTAGTCTGTTTGTTCTTACCACCAAGCAACTAATCTTCTGTTATTTGACTGTCCATGTAATTTTATCTAACAGAAAGAATGTACTAGTAGCTAGTAACCATTATAGTCTTTTCTTGTAATTAAATTGTCATTCTGATTTTGGAGATTATTCTTTTATTCTCTTTTTTATTATTTTTTTATTTTTTTAATTGTAAAAATGTTGTACAGAGGTGTTACAGTTACATGAGTAGGGTAGTGAGCACATTTCATAGTGAACATTGTTACCTCCTCTTTTATTTACCATCACTTCCCTCCCTGCCTTCCCAATTCATCCCACCTCCCCCCCAGATTACTCTTTATATACTTTATTAATATAAGTTTAACCGTAACAGTCTTTTTAAGTGCAGTAACAAAATTGGATTTCCATTCTTGAAAAGCTAAAACTATAATTTTAGATGTATTGGATATCGCCCCTGGAATTTAAAACACAAAAGTAAATTCATGGTATTGAGAGTTCTCATGTTTTTCTTCTAATTCCTTTACGAATTATTTTTGATTCTGAAAAAGAACATTGAGGAGTCAGTATTTCCAACACATTGTTTTATCCCTGAAATAGCCACACTAAACTGCTGGAGGAACTGGAATCATAAATGCAGCAATGGTACACTGGATGTACTGGGCTTCTGTGGTGGCTTCCCACTTTTCCTTCTAGCCACTTTTCCTGTAGGACAATTTACCTGAAATTTCTGGCTCACTTCTGAGCTGACCCTGGTTTCTCTCCTTTTTTTCTGTTCTTATAGTACTGTATACATTGAGTTAGAGCAGAGTTGTGTTTTCCTACTCTGCTGAAAAAAAAAGCAGTTTAGTGTTATTTATTTCTCTGTGCTTGTTGATTAACATGAATTGCAAAGAATTGTCTTTTTTAAAGCACACTTGCATTATTTTGCATTTAAATGGGGTACTAAGAACATCCTTCAACTTTAAATAAAGCAAATTTCACTTGAAATTTTATATGTAAAAAGATTCCATGGAAGGATTAATTCTAATACAATATTTCAAACATGACTGTCACAGTTTGCTTGGCAACTTGAAACTTTCATCAACATTTTGCATTTCTAGCAAATGGTTTGCAATGCAAAAAAAACACCTGGGTGTTTTTGCAAGTTATTTAAAATTATACATGGTTATTACATTCTAGAACAAAATTATGTTGGTATCTGTGGCTTAGATGGCTTGAAAATGATGATCTTAAGGACATTTCACATTCTGTTAGCTACATTCTTCTAGTTACCCCATGAAGTGTTTGATCTTTAGAACTCTAATAAGATACACACATCATGTTTTTCTTACTTTTTTCTTCAAAGTCAGCCAGAGTACATGCCAATTTAAGAGTTTGTAGAAACTAAAGTCTTCAGAAATATTTCTACTTCAGAGCAAAAGAAAGTACATTACAGATTATAGACTTGACTTTAACAATCTTGAATTCCTGAAGCTAACAGTATTGTGATAACACACAAATATCACTTGAAAGTGTGAAGGAAGAAAAACAACTTTTTGATATTCTCAGCAAACCCAGACAGTACCATAAATATTGTAAAATTGACACATATTGTATATTGGTGTGGTTTTTTAGGCATGTGTACTTTTTTCTTTCTTTTTCTTTTCTTTCTTTTTTTTTTGATGCTGGTCTTGAACTCAGGGTTGGGTGCTGTCCTTGAGTTTCTTTTGCTCAGTGCTCTACCACTTGCCACAACTCTGTTTCTGGCTTTTTTGATAATCAGTTAGAAATAAGAGTCTCATGGCCTTTCATGCCCAAGCTGGCATTGAACTGTGATCTTCAGATCTCAGCCTCCTGAGGATTACAGGTGTGAGCCACCAGTGCCTGGCTGGTATGTGTATTGACTTTAGAAATGGCAGCTAAGACTTCTAAGGCATGATTAAATCCAGTGACTTACCCAGATATTTGTAAAGAAGTGTCCCAGTTCTGTTAGAAGACAAGGTTTGCTTGGTGTTTCCTTGTGACAAATTATATTCCAGGTACTGGGATACTTTCCTTTAGAACACACAAATTAAGAAAATGACCAATAATAATTTCAACTTATTATTCAACAGGTAAAAGAGCTTAAACATTCAAACAAACTAGAAATAACAGATATCAAACTGGAGGCTGCAAGAGCTAAGAGTGATCTAGAAAGAGAAAGGAATAAGATTCAAAGTGAACTGGATGGTAATATATAATTATCCATGCTTTGTTGTTATTTTCAGCCATAAACTCAAATTATAAAACCTGACCATTATCAATTAATCTTGGAATACATGTAGAATGTTTTGTTTATAAGTTGAAAGTTTTGTATGAACTACCCTTTAGAAAAAAACTTAAGCTTATGTAATAATGTGTAAATTAAATGAAACTTGAAAGATGGATTCCATCCTTTCTGTATTTATAATTTTAAATTTATTTACATGATGTGGTTTTTAGCCCTAGGACATTTTTAAGTCTAAGAATTGTAAAGAATATAGGTAGATTCCAAGCCTCAACTTAAAAAAAAGTGTCAACCCTACAATTATGGGAGCCTAGATCAGGGTAGACTTTATAAAGTTCTGTTTTAGAATTAGAATATCTGATCACAATGTCTTAGGATTTATTTTCTTTCTAACTTTCTTTTTCTTCTGGTTGTGGGGCTTGAATTCAGGGCCTGGGCACTGTCCCTGACCTCTTTTTGCTCAAGGCTAGCACTCTGCCACTTTGAGCCACAGCACCACTTCTGGTTTTCTGGTGGTTAACTGGAGATAAGAGTCAGATTTTTCTGCCCAGGCTAACTTTGACTGTGATCCTCAGATCTCAGCCTCCTGAGTGGCTAGGATTACAGGTGTGAGCAGTATTGTGTCTGAGTAGGTCTATAGTTGATCTGGCCTCTGTAGTTACAAATAGAGCTTATGCTGAATGTGGATTTCCACAGACATAGGGCATAAATATTCTTTGGATGTCTGTAATTGATTGATGCATTGTGTTTCTATTTTGAATTAAATACAGATTTGTTTTAGTTAGTAATTCATCTGTAAAATACTGTCATCTCTCCTCTGCACTGGTAGCTCATGCTTCTATTCCTAGGTTTTGAAGATAAGAGGTTCAAGGCCAACATAGGAAGGAAAGTTCACAATGGCTCAAGCAGTAGTGTACCAATAGAGCAAACATGCCGAGAAAGAAAGCCCCAGGCCCTGAGTCCTAGTACTGCCAAAAAGAAAAGTAATCTTATTACATGGAGGATTTTGGAATTCACTGGACAAATGTGAATTTTCCTTATTATATATATAAATGTAAATATATATGTGTATTATATATACATATGTGTGTATGTGCTAGAAACCTAGCAGTTTTGAAGGGTCAATGATTTTGTTAAAATGTTAACTTGAAGGGCTGCAGCATCCCTTCAGAGATAAAGAAAGTAAGCTTCTTTCATTATCAGCTATCAAGATTCAAATAAGTAAATGAATACAACTTTTTGGAAAAGTTTTTGTGTGTGTGAAAAATTAACTCTAAGTTTTCATCTGTTTCATTCTTACTTTAAGAAGTTGATCAATAGGGGTCTTTGTGAAGACCTATCCAAAGGGACTTTCTACATTTTTAATTATCTTACTGTCTTATATATATATGCTTGCTGTTAATTGTGAATTTTCTTCTTAATAATATTGACTATACTACATTTTTCTCCTTGAAATATATTAGGATTACAATCAGACAATGAAATTCTCAAATCAGCTATTGAACACCATAAAATGGTCTTAGTAGAAAAGGATCGTGAATTAATACGGAAAGTACAGGCTGCCAAGGAAGAAGGTTATCAAAAACTTGTATTATTACAAGATGAAAAGTAAGTACCTTAGCTGCATTAAATCTCCTTGTATATGAAAACATTTTATTGTTGTATCATCTTTATCATAGTTCTTATAATTATCATCTGTTGTTTTAGGCTAGAACTTGAGAACAAATTAGCAGACTTAGAGAAAATGAAAGTGGAACATGATGTCTGGAGACAATCTGAAAAGGATCAGTGTGAAGAGAAATTGCGGGCTGCACAGATGTCTGAAGAATCAGCCAGAAGGGAACTTCAGAGCATTAGGTTATATTTGAATATATATTTTTAAATTTTGAAATATTTTCAATTAACAAAAATGATATAAAATCATCACAGATTATATCTCCCTAATTTACTAAGTATTAACAACTTACATAATATTACAACAATTGAGAATAAGAAATTCATAATATAGGGGCTGGGAAGGTGGCTCAATGGTAGAGTGCTTGCCTTGCATGCATGAGGCCCTGGGTTTGATTCCTCAGCACCACATAAGCAAAAAGAAAAAAGCTGGATGTGGCACTGTGGCTCAAGTGATAGAGCGCTGTCCTTGAGCTGAAGAGCTGAGGGACAGCCCCAAGGCTCAGAGTTCAGGCCCCACCACTGACAAAAAAAAAAAAAAAGAAAGAAAGAACTTAGTAATACATAATCCAAGTGCTGGGTAGTTGGCCAAGTAGGAGTGCAGAGTTCAAAGCTTGCCTGGTCAAAAAGTTAGCCAGACCCCAGCCCACCTTATCTTAACCAATATACTGGGTTTAGTGATGAGAGTTGTGATCTTAGCTATGGGGAAGGTACAAGTAGAAAGGTGGGATAATTATGATCAGGCAAAATAACTAAAGCAAAAGGACTAGTGTCATGACACTTGCCTAACAAGCATGAAGTCCTAAGTTCACTCTCTTTTATTCTGTATATATAAATATATACTAATAAATATATATTAGTGTATTTTGCTTTGTGAAGGTTGACATGGTTCTAAAAGACAGAATGATACAAAAAACATTTATAAAAGAGACTGTAAAAAGAGTAGCACTATCATCTAGCTTCCTAAATTAGTTTGTTGGCAATTTCATTGGGATTGCATTTCCTTTTTCTTCAAATTTTTGTGCCAAATAAATGTAGCAAAATTTGATCATCTTAACCATTTTAAGTGAACAATTTAATGGTAGGGATTGCATTTATAATGTTTAACCTCACCTCTGTCTCTCTTCAGAGCTCTTTGCATTTTGTAAAACTGAAATTCTGTATCTGTTCCATAACACCTCGTCTCTCCTCTCAGCCTTGGCAGTCACTCTTCACTTTCTGCCTTTAATGACTTTCAGTACTCCAAGTACCTTGTAGAAGCGAGATCATGTTAGCTTCATTACTGGCTTGTTTCACTTAGCATAGTAACCTCAATGTTTATCTATTTTATAATGTGTTTTAGAATTTCCTTTGATTACTAACAAAATTCTGTTTGATTAAGAAGTTTGGTAAGTGGAGGTATGATTTAATGGCCTAGTGCTTGCCTAGGTAGCCCAAAGCCTGAGTTCAAAATCCCAGTACTTTCCTCTCAACTCTAAGGGTCTAAGGGTAATAGTACAGGCTTGTAATCTCAGTTACTCAGTAAATAATTAGGAAGATCAAGGTTTGAGACCAGCATAAGTGAAAAGTTAGCAAGATCTCATCTTAATCTACAAGCCTGACATGATAGTATATCAAGGTACACAAAAGACATAGATAAGAGGATCACTTATGCAGAGGCCTACTCTGGGCAAAAAATAAAATCCCTATCAAAGGTCTGAGAGTATGTATGGCTCAAATGATAAGAACACCTGTCTAGTCAGTGTTAGGCCCCAAGTTTTAGATGACCAGTAATAATTATAAAAATAATTAACAACGGTTTGGTTTTTTTGCATTTAGGTTTCAGATTCAATTTATATCTTTTTTTAAAAAATTATTTTAGCTGGGTGCTGATGGCTCATGCCTGTAATCCTAGCTACTAAGGAGGCTGAGATCTGAGGATCACGGTTCAAAGCCAGCCCAGAAAAGTCCTCGAGACTCTTATCTCCAATTAACCACCAGAAAACCAGAAGTGATGCTGTGGCTCACGCGGTAGAGCGTTTGTCTTGAGTGAAGAATAGGGATAGCACCCAAGCCCAGAAGTTCAAGCCCCATGACCGACCAAAAAAAATCAAAATAAATTTTTAAAAATATTTATTTTTATTTATTTATATTTTTGTCCGTGTGAGGCTTGAACTCTGGGCCTGAGCATTGTCCCTCAGCTCTTCAGCTCAAGGCTAGCGCTCTACCACTTGAGCCGCAGCACCACTTCGGGTTTTCTGGTGGTTAATTGGAGATAAGAGTCTCATGGACTTTTCTGCCCAGGCTGGCTTTGAACTGTGTTCCTCAGATTTCAGTCTCCTGAGTAGCTAGGATTACAGGCATGAGCCACCGGTACCTGGTTAATAACTATTTTTAAAATTTTTATGTAAGTGTACAACTATTCCATCACCATTCTTGACCTCCTTTTTTTTATTACTTTTGTTGAAAATTAAGAGACTGTAAAACTATGTATCTGACTGTAGACTGTATTCTGTTCATCCATAATTCTGTCCTGTCTTCCACTAACATCACACAGTTGTAGTTATCATAGTGTCATAGGAAATTTGACTTAGGTTCAAGTCTTCTTTTCTGATCTTTTTTGTCAAGATTCTTTTGGATATTTTAGGTTTTGCTGTCAATATAAATTTCAAAATCACTTTGTTTTTTCAGAAAGCTTCTTAAGATTTTGATGGGATTGCATTGAAACCTCATTTCTTAGATGTTTCTAAGACAATATTATATATGTGTGTATATATGTATATATACACAAACATGAACATTTAAATAACATACACACATATAGTGCTGTCTTTTAAGTTTACTTTGTTCACTGTTATTGTTTGGAATTTAATTCTACTAATTTTCTTTCATTTTTATTGGTAAGAGTAGCCAGTGCAAAGAAATGTTTCCTTAGATTTTAATGGTTTTTGACAGTTTCTAACTTCAATTTATATTTTCCTTTTGATTCTAGAATTGTTGAACAGGAGATATATTCATTTTCTAAGTCTCCTGTAATAAATTACCATAGACTTGTCACTTAAACAACAGAAATTTATTTTCTCATATTTCTGGAGTCTAAAAGTGTAAAATCAAAGTGTCAGCTGACTTGGTCTCTCTGAGGCCAGTTCCCTTGGCTCGCTGATCACTCTTTCCTTATCCTCTGATGGACTTTTCTCTGTATATCCATGTTCTGGTGTCATACTAGTGACTTCAGTTAACCTTAATTACTTTTTATTTTATTTTTATTTTTATTTTTTGTACCAGTCCTTGGACTTGAACTCATGTTCTGGGTGCTGTCCCTAAGATTTTTTTTCTCAAGGCTAGTGCTCTACCACTTGAGACATAGCACCACTTCTGGCTTTTTCTGAGTAGTTAGAGTCTCACTGACTTTTTTGCCCTGGCTGTTTTTGAAGGTGATCCTCAGATCTCAGCCCCCAAAGTAGATAGGATTACAGGTGTGAGTCACCAATTCTCAATTCTTAATTTCTTCTTTAAAAGGGCCTTACCTCCAAACATAGCCTTACTCCAATGCCTTGGGAGGGGGGGATTCTTGTAAAATTTTTAGTTTAAGGTGGGAGAGAATTCCCCTGCCCCTTTTATTTTGTTGTGAAATCTAGTTTTATTGCTCTGTGATCAGATGGTATCGTTTATATTTCCACTGCTTTCTGGAGCACACTGGGTTTTTGTCACTATATCAGGTCAGGACTAGGTGAAGCCCCCAAGGTGTGAAATTTAAGGAGGCACTCACTTCCGTGAGCAGACTGTACTTGCTTGCAGAAGGTCAAAGTGAGTATTGCAAAATTTTTACTTGGCCACCTCAATTTCTTTACGCCAGGCTCAGTCCTGTTGTATTTGATCAGTTGTTGTCATATGAGTATATGGAAAGTACTAAATTTGATGAGTACAGTTGCTTTTCCACTTAATTATGTTACATCCTGTTAACCTCCCAATAAGTTGAAAATGTGCTTAGTATACCTAATCTACTTGTCCTCTTAGTTTAGTGACACAGTACACTGTAGTGGTTCAGTTATTTGCCCTAGTGGTCACATGGCTTACCTAGGACCTTCTGCCACTGAACAGCACTGAGATACAACTTTTATCTACTGAATTCAAAATTGGATGTACACTTTATCCTGCATGCATTTATTTTCACACTATAATAAAGCTAAAAAATGATAAATCCAGCCATTCTAAGTCAGGTAGCATCTGTGTAAAGTTTGACATATAGATGTGTGTAGGTGTATATGTTTATATAGATTACATACAGGCATAAATACATAAGATCTACCTTATTAACAATTATGTACTCTTTTTTACTATTTGATCTGTCTGTACAAAGACTGATTGATATTAACATCTCCTGCTATTACTGCTCATTTTTCTTGTAGTTTTTGTGCCATAAAGGTGATTTACGTACTGTTTGGAATGTAGATAACCGTAAATTACATCTTGATTGTGATATGTAGTTTTTAGTGTTACAAGGTGCTTTTCTTTTCCTCATTTAGTTCTTTTTTCCTTACACTCTATAATATCTAATATTACTGCTATTACTGATGTGCTGTTTCCATTTGTTTGATGTGCCTTTGTCCTCTTATTTCTAAATTTTCTGCATCATTCTTTTTTTTTAAAAGTATGTATTTTTTACATAGAATATAGCCATATTAGCCTCAGAAAGATATAGAGCCATTTGGAAGCGGTTGTTTTTAATGAGTAAGTGAAGTCCATTCACCTATGATTCACTAAAGATTTGTAAGCAGAATTAAAAATTAGTTGTTGGATTTTGTTTCTTTCCCTTTTTTTTTACAGTTGTTTTGAGATTGAGCATTTTCTGCCTTCCATTTATACTGAGGGTGTCATTTTGTACAGCTTCTTTTATATTCTTTTTGCTTAAATTAAGTAAATTGTAAATTTAATTGTAAATTAAGACAATATCAGAGTGCTTGCCTTTACTGTTGGCACCTCTGAGTTTCTTGTATCTGCTTTTTACGTTGTAAAATCTTAGTGACTTTGCTCATTATACCAATTACAGTTTAGTGACTTTTAAAAGTCACATTAAGTTGTGTCTTACATTTAAGACAAGGTTTGTATTACTTATTGTGTTAGATTTTATGGACTGTTCAGTTGTTAGTGACTATGACTTGGAAACCACAAATCTGTAACAGATTTTGAGAACCATTGTTCCA